ACAGCAAATGAGGTCGGGATGGGAGTGAATGAGGAGTGTCAGGGTAGGGTGTGTTGGAGCAGTGGTGAGAAAGTGGCTGCTCATTATAAAATCTTCCCTGCCTCTACAGGGACTATCGGGTCATCGGGAAGGTTATGACGCATTTTTGCACAAAGAAACAGAATACCTCATGACTTCTCCAACAACCTAATATGATCACATAGAGCTGACGGTCAGTGCCAGCATCCAAGTGGAACAAATCACTCAAGTGGTGCTGTCAGCAGGATGAACGATGGTTAAGGTACTGGATTCCCACATAACTAACCACTGTCTGAGTCCCAGACCTGGCAGCGTGAAAATTATGCCAGTGTATGTGTGGCCAAAATTCCAGGAGGAAAAGGGACTGCAGTGTGGCCATCTCCCAGAGGGTGATTTCTCACTGTCTTTCTCTGGTGAGTGCATGTGCCCTATGGCAAAAATCTTAAAAAAAAAAAAAAAGTCCATCCTTTCCCCAAAATAAGTATTGGTAGTGCCAGAGATATGATCAGAAAGCAGTATAGGGGCCAGCAGGTGGCGTCGTGGTTAAGGCACTGGAGACTCCCACATGGTCGACCACCGCTTGAGTCCCGGACCTGGTGGCTCACTTTCTCACTTTCCCTCTGTGTGTCTCTTTCTGGTCAAATTAAAATAAATGAATAAATAAATAAAATTAAGTTAAGTAATTCTCAAAAAAAGAAAGAAAGCGAGAAAGAAAGAGAGCAGTCTGTGGGACAAGCAGATGGCGTAATGGTTACAATGCTGGACTCCCATGTGGACGAACGTGGTTTGAGTCCAGGAGCTGACAGCTTGAAACTCATGTCGGGTGCATGTGCGTGCATGCCCAAAATCTCAAGAGGAGAGTAGAGAAGGGACTGTGGCATGGTCATCCCCCCTGGAGAGTGGTTTTTGACTTTCTGTCTCTCTGTCTCTCCAGTGAATGCATGCACAAAAAAAAAAAAAAAAGAAACAAAGAAAGAGTAGCCTTTGACTGACAGACGGCAACTGGGACATGACACTGAAGATCCCTTTCCACATCTTCTTCTACTTCCCAGGCTTCCATGACCTGGTAGGAACTTCTATTTCCTATCCTTCTCTCTAAAGCAGTGACCTGACCTACCATCTACTAGCTCACATCTAAAGGCACTGACACTCCTTTTTTTTTTTTTGGAGAGGTTTTCGCTATAGGGCACGTGCGCTCGCCAGACAGACAGACAGAGACAGAGAGATAGAAAGCGAGAAATCACCCCCCAGGGGGGATGGTCACGCCGCAATCCCTTCTCCTCCATTCTCCTCCTGGGATCTTGGGCATGCACGCACACGCACCCGGCGTGAGGTTTAAGCCACCGGGTCCGGGACGCGAACCACGGTCGACTACGTGGGAGTCCAGAGACATAGCCATTATGCTAACTGCTGGTTCCCAGGCACTGACACTCCTAAATCAACCCTCCAGCATTATCTGTTGGGTACTGGCAACAGCTTGTTTCAAGTACTTCATTTGATCTCAGCCACAAGGCCAAGGAGGCAATAGAAACTTATGGAAGTAGACACGTGCAAAGAAAGAAAGCAAGTTCATTCTATGTTTTTGCTCTGTTAAGATCTACACTTCCTAACTTACTTTACCAGTCCTGAGGGTTATACCTTTCCGAGTAGACAAAAAAAAATTATTTCTCCTGTCAATTTATGGTGTTTTTTTGTTTGCTGTTTAATTGCTGAAGGGCACTTGTGCTTGCCAGAGAGAGAGAGAGAGAGAGAAACTGCATTTCCTCAATGGTACATGGTCATGCCACAATACCTCCTCCTCCATTTCTTCATTCTGTTGAAATTCTGAGCACATATGTGCAAGCACTGGAGTGTCATCCAAGCTGATGGGTGGGGATTCAAACTGCAGTTAGCCATGTAGGCTCTAACTCCCTTAACCACCAGGCTATGGGGCTGGCCCTAGAGTTGTTTTTTGTTGTTGTTGTTGTTGTTTTCCTCCAGATTTTATTTTTTAAAGAATTATTTATATTTAATTTTATTTATTCATCCATTTATTTGTTTATTTATTTATTTGGAGAGGTTATTTATTTATTTTTTGGAGAAGTTATTTTTATAGGACGTGTGCGCTCGCCAGCCAGACAGACAGAGACAGAGAGACAGAGAGACAGAAAGTGAGAAATCACCCCCCAGGGAGGATGGCCACGCCACAATCCCTTCTCCTCCATTCTCCTCTCGGGATCTTGGGCACGCACGCACACGTGCCCGACGTGAGGTTTAAGCTACCGGGTCCGGGACGCGAACCATGGTCGACCACATGGGAGTCCAGCAACACAGCCATTACACTAACTGCTGGTCCCTCATCCATTTATTTTAATTTGACCAGGGAGAGAAAGATACAGAAAGAGAGAGAGGGAAAGTGAGAAAGTGAGCCATCACGTCTGGACTTGAACTGTGGTTGGCCATGTGAGAGTGTCCAGCGCCTTAAGCACCATGCCACCTGATGGTTCCCCCCAACCAGATTTATTTTATTCATGATAGAAAGCACATAAGAGAAAGGAGAGAAAGGGGGAAAAAGCACTCCCAACAGGGCCTCATCATGCTGAGATTCCCCTATTGCCCTTTCCTCAGCCCTCCATTTTATCAGGATCTTGGGCAAGAGTGCACACACCTGGCATATTTTCAAGTCAACCCAGGGATCGGATCCCATAGTCAGCCATGCGACTTCAAGCACTGGAGTTCAGTTTTTGTTTGTTTTTTGTTTGTTTTTTTAAAGAGTCTTTTATTTATTTATTATTATTATCACTGTTATTTTCCAGTTTGATCAGAGAGAGAGAGAGAGAGAGAGGAAGTGAGAAAGCAAGCCACCAGGTCCGAGACTTGAACTGTGGTTGGCCATGTGGGAGTCCAGCGCCTTTAACCACCATGCCACTTGCCAGCCCCTGCAGTTCAGTTTGCGACCAAATGCTTCACTAGCCTGGACATGACTTTTTGTTGTTATGTTTTGAAAGGGTCTTGCTGTATCACAATACTCCTGCTTTATGTCTCCACTGCACCTGGCTTTTAGGGTAGACCAGAACACAAACCCAGGCTTCTCACATGGCCTCAGACTGCTGAGTGGCCGAGTCCAACACACACTGATTGGACTTCGTTTCGGATTTTTAACTGGGAAAACAAAGAACCACAAGAAAGGCTGAAACTCAGTGACCCCAGCTCTAGGAAATGGAGTACACTGGGCCAGAAAATGTGCTTTAATCTTCTCACATCTTGTTTCTTTTCTCTTTTCATTTTTGCTATAGGTCACATGTGCTTGCCAGAGAGAACTAAAGAGAGAAAGTGAAAAATCAATCCCCTCTGGAGGCTGGCCACACTGAAATCCCTTCTTCTCCTGTCTCCTCTCAGGGTTTTGGATACATGCACATACACTCTGTATGACCTTCAAGCTGCCAGGTCCAGGACTCCATCCGTGCAGTCATCCACGTGGGATCCAACACCTTAACCTCTATGCCACTTGCTGGCCCTCACATCTTATTTCTAATACACACAAATATATTCAGAAGAAAATTAGATACTTTAGTAGATAAACAGGTAATAAAATTGTAGCACATACATACAATGGAATATTATTCAGCCGTAAAAAGTAATGAAATATTGATACCTGTTACAAAATGGATCAACCTTGAAAACATTATTCTAAGTGGAAGAAGCCAGACACAAAAGATCACATTCTGTAGGATCTATTTATAGGAAATGTCCAGAAGAGGTAAACCTATACAGACAGACAGCAGATTAATTGTTGCCAGGGGTAAGGGACAGGGAGCAACTGTTTAATAGCGATGGTGTTTTCTTTTTGGTGATAAAAATATTTTGGAACGAGGTAGAGGTAGTAGTTGCATAAGATTAGGAGTGTGTGCAATGCCACTGAACTGTTCACTTTAAAATAGTTCATTTATATAAATTCCAACTCACTAATTTTTTTTTTTAAACAGAGGATATGAATGGGCAAAACAAGATGTATCTGTGAAAAGCCCTTAAACTCCTAAGGAAAAGATAAGTACTTCTGCCAGCACAACACAGCTGAAGCACCAAGTTGTATGCGCTTTGGCATTGTGCACATGTGTGCATGCCCTCCTGTAAACACAGGGAAGAGAAGAGAAAGTGAAGAAAATAGAACAGTAAAGCCTTGCCAAACACAAGGAAGGAGGGGTGATTCCCCTTACTGCACCCCACCCAACTTGGCACCAGGAGCCACGCTCCCATTAGGGTTTCGAAATGCCAGCGGGAGCTGGAATCAGCACAAGCAAGCTTCCCTGCCTGGACAAAGAGCAAGCCACCCAGCAAGAAAAGCTAGGGTGCTCCATTTGCAGTCCATACTGGCATCAGAATCACCCATTGCTCAAAAACCCTGAGCTGGCTCAGACGAGCTACAGTGAGTCTAACAGCCTAACAGCAAGTCCTTTATAGCTCAAATGCGCCCCTTTTCCTGAGGGGTCCCACCCCACTTCATCCCACCTGCCTTTCCAGAGCCCTGCCTCCAACAACCTCCTATCATGGGTGCCATGCCTTCCACCAATAAAAACTGGGCCAAGGTGCCTCGGAACTTAAAAATATCCTCCCAGGTCCTCCTCCCTTTCAAGACAGTCCAATGGCCTGTGTGCCCCTACACACAGCATCCCTGCCTCAGACACCTGCTCCACGGAGGACAGCCATGAGCCCCACATGCCCCAGCGTGGCCCACTGTCCAGTCATCCCAGCGCACCTAGCCTACCTCAAAGGCCCCTCACTCGCTTGGCACCATGCCTCTGCCACCTCTCAGATAGCACTAAGCACGGACGCCCCTGGGATCTGCTAGGCATGGACGACCTCCTGGGGACCCCTGAACTCTTGACAACAACGCTGCTTCAGAACCCTCAAGCCAGGCACCGACGCCGTCTCCAGCTCCCTCCAGTCAGGCCTCCACGACCCTCCAGACCCTCAGCCTAGCCCAGACGCCCCCTCCCCCTTACCTGCGGGGGTTCAGCCCTGGCTGTTAAGGGGCTGGGCAGCGCCTGGAGGAGCAGGAGCGCCATGCCACCCAGGAGCCTTCTCCTCTCCATCACCCTCCTGCTCCTGCTCCTCCGCCACGGCGCCGCCACCTCCCTCCTCCTCCCTTTCCTCCTCTTCCCTCTTCTTCCTTCTTCCCTTCTTTTTCTGTTTGACTCTCCCCTCCCGCTTCCGGCTCCTCTCCACCCCGCCCCAGGCAAAATACCCTCCCAGAGACGGGGGCGGGTCTCCGGTTCCAGAGTTTCATTGGTTCCTGCTCTCGCCTCACTGGTCGAAATGGCTGTTGATCACACACAAGCCCTGCCCCCTCACAGACGGAAAAGCGGAGCCATCCAGCCAATGAAAAGTAGGAGGAAGCTGGGCCATCTTGAGTGTTTCCAAGTGGCGTAAAAGGCGTCCCGCCCCGCCGAGCGTGGCGGGCGGGGGGGTG